TTCTGCCTCATCCAGACTGGAAAATCCTTTCCTCTCTACATTCCACCTTTCTTAAACAAGTGCTTTGTTGTATGGAAGAAAACATGGTATTTCTAAACAAATGTTCATATTAATATATCACCTCTCTGCTTTTGTTATTTTCCATTGTTAGAGGGTTGTTTCACATTTTACTTGTTTTCAGCTTGGGGTTTGCCTTTTAATTTTATTTATATGCACTTTTGTAGTTGATTACTCTGGTGTTTTACAAGGAAAAGAAAGAAGTAAAGATTTGAGGTTGAGAACCTTTGCTTTTAAACTTTTTAAATTCTGAGCTGAAGTTATGACATGATGATGTAAACTATTTTTGAGAGAAGTTTTTTTTCCTAACAGAGTTTATACCTACTAAGAACATCCATGAAAAAAAATGAGTACAGAATCTGTTTCTTCATTGAAATCTGCCGTTATTTAAAGTTTTGTAGAACATCTTTTAACCTAATTATTGTTACTCCAATACTATTGATACTCCAATACTAACTGGAATATCCATTATAAAAGTATTTTTATTTCTGGAATTTGAGCCTTCAAAATGTTTCCATATACATCATCTTTTCTGTCTTAAAATACTAATTGGCAACCAACAATTCAGAAGATACAGCATTTTATGTTTTTTAAAAAAATAAATATATATAATACATTATGGCTTATAAAATGACAATTATATTATGCAATAGTTTAACACATTAGAGTTTTCTGAGTAATGTGTGCCAGTAAGAGTAGTCCTACCTTGCTTGAGTAGATTACCCTTGATATCTGACCTTCTTCTCCTTTATGCATCTTCAATTCTGGCTCAAGCCTTGTAACTCCCTTTGTGGTTAATTATCTGGTAGTAGAGTACAGCATCCAAGAGATGACTGTTCATGCTAAACCACTTACCTGTATTAACATAAAATCTTCTGTTGCACTGAATTACAGTTGATCTTTTCTTTAATTTAGGAGTTCACCTTGTGACTAATCTGCATCAAATACTTATGAAATACCTTTTTAAATGTCATTTTCCTTTCTGGAAACATTTTATTTCTGTTTAGGTGCTGTTGTATTGTTCTTAGCATCTTTCTGAAACTAAATCAAAGAAAATAGTTTATGTGCTGTCTGTTCTATTTTGGAATCATGTCATGTTTCTGGTAAAATAGAACTATAGAATTATATTCTAACTCTATGTAAAAATAAATCTCTTAAATGAAAATAGTTTGTATGGCATACATCTGTCTATAAATCAGTATGCTGTCACTTCTTTTCAAGAAACTGCTTTATTCACTATTAATATGTTTTGATATTATGAATATAATAAATGTTATGAAATTAAATGCATTTTAATTAATTCTCTTTTTTGTAAGGTGCTCACTTTTTGAACTCAGATTGTTATAAAAAGGTAGTAGAGGGATTTTTTTTTTTTTTTTT